AAGCGATCGAGAGTGCGAGAAAGAGCGAGCGAGAGAAAGAAAGAGAGAGAGAGAGAGAGAGAAAGAGAGAGAGAGAGAGAGACAGGCGCGTGTCCAGTTTGTGCATGAATGCCCCTGCTCGCACACCCACACCTGGTTTAGGGTTTAGGGTGTAGGGTGAAGGGTGTAGGATTTGGAAATTGATTAATGGTGAATTTCATGGGGGGGGGTAATTTCAGGGGGGGGGGTCAAAATTCACCTGTGTCATTTTGGGGGGGGCACTCTATCTACGAGACCAAATTGAACTGGGACAGAGCTAGAAGACCTTGAAGCGCTGACTTTTGGCGTGTTTCCTGGGCAATAATCAAATAATTAACTTATGAATCTGTTCGCATGGATAGCCTCGTGTGGAACCGCGGTCGGTCGTCCTTCAACAAGTTAATCACGGTGAGTTTTTGAGTCAAATACGATCTTGGTAACGAATTTTACTACACACCAGGTTTTACTATTACTTTTATGAACCAATTGTGTAGTAATTTTCGTTGATAGGTCCTAGAAATCGTATTTGACTCAAATACTCGTCCGGATGAGCTTCTTGAAGCCCCCCGAGCCCTCCTGTCCGGAAAGCCGAGCCAAGAAATCCAGAAACCAGAAACCAGGGCAAGTGTGTGAAGTTAATCTCCATACACGTATTAATCGATTGCTTTTGGCGCAACGAAATTTACTACACAAATGCTTTACTACGACGTTTATGAGCAAACCTTGTAGTAATTTTCGTTGCCCAGAAGCAATTAATCAATAATTGTATGGAGATCAAAGTGGATCTCTCTCTCTCTACTCAAGGGCAAGACCTCAAAGCGCGGCGCTTCTTGAAGCCCCCCGAGTCCTCCTGTCCTGAAAGCCGCGCCGGCGCCTGCGGATGGGGAGGGGGGGTGTGTGTAGGATTTAGGGTTTAGGGTTTAGGGTTTGGGGTTTGGGGTTTGGGGTTTGGGGTTTAGGGTTTGGGGTTCAGGGTTTAGGGTTTAGGGTGTAGGGTTTAGGGTGTAGGGTTTAGGGTGTAGGGTTTAGAATTTAGAGTTTAGGGTGTAGGGTGTAGGGTTTGGGGTTTAGGGTTTAGAGTTTGGGGTGTAGGATTTAGGGTTTAGGGTGTAGTGTTTAGGGTGTAGGGTGTAGGGTGTAGGATTTAGGGTTTAGGGTGTAGGATTTCGGGTTTTGGGGTTTCGGGTTTGGGGTTTGGGGTTTGGGGTTTCGGGTTCAGGGCTTGCCGCTTGCGTGGCTCTTGATGATCGCATCCCACATCACCCCCGAGAGAGAGGAGTTTTGACCACCACCGATTTGACCATCACCATTCGAGGGGGACGCGAGTTTGCAGGAGGCCACCGAGGGGTCCCCCCCCCACCGCGGGAGGAGCTGCTGGCGGGGTTGGGGTTTGGGGTTTGGGGTTTGGGGTTTGGGGTTTGGGGTTTGGGGTGTGGGGTGTGGGGTGTGGGGTGTGGGGTTGGGGGTTTGGGGTGTGAGGTTTAGGTTTCAGGAATGGATTAATGTAAGACGGTATCGGGGTGGTCTGTGTTGAGAGGTCCGGGTTTCAGGGCTCGTTTTTCGGGGGTTTGGTCTCGGGTTTCGGGTTTCGGGTTTCGGGTTCCGGGTTCCGGGTTTCGGGTTCCGGGGTTTGTGTTCCGTGTTCCGTGTTCCGTGTTCCGTGTTCCGTGTTCCGTGTTTCGGATTCCGTGTTTCGGGATTCGGGTTTTGGGTTTCGGGTTCCGGGTTTCGGATTTGGGGATTCGGGATTCGGGTTTTGGGATTCGGGTGTCGGGTCTCGGGAGAGGAGGCAGACCTGTCCGACAGGAGCCCCTGGCGCCGGCGTCGTCGTGCCCCCAAAAGTGGACGCTGCCGCCGAAGTGGTCGTCGTGCCCCCAAAAGTGGACGCTGCCGCCGAAGTAGTCGCGGGCTGCGCGATTTCGGTGGGCCTGGCGGGACACACCCCGCAGCGCCACCGAAGGAAATACTCTGCGGGATTCGACCGCCCCCAGTAGCAGGTGCCTCCGTAGCATCCTGGGTGGGTTTGGGGTCTGGGGTTTGGGTTTTGGGTTTTGGGTTTTGGGGTTTGGGGTTTGGGGTTTGGGGTTTGGGGTTTGGGGTTTGGTTTAGGGTTTAGGGTTTAGGGTTGGTGGTTTGGGGTTTGGGATTTGGGGTTTGGGGTGGTCCAGGGTTCAGGGTTCAGGTTTTCGGTTTTCGGTTTTCGGGTCCACAGTTTAGGGTTTACCATACTCCGCAATGTCACCCTGCGACCGTGTGGAAGAACTAGCGCTGCAGCCACTCGTGCCGGTGGCATTCACGTCGCTGCATCCCACAAAGTCACAATCGGATGAGCTGAGCCCTCCGGAGCACGACTGCCCGGCCTGCGCCTCCTTTCGGGGGTGGGGAGGGGGTTTAGGGGTCGGGAGGGCAGGCACTCACAGCGGTGAAGCAGAGCCTTCCTGCAGGATAAGTTCCAGTGTCCGCCTATGGTGGGATATACATGAACCTCAAGGACCTAACGGTACTGAGCAGTGATGAGCCTCAGGGCGAACTAACACGGGAGACAACTGGCGACACACTGGAGTTGTCTAGAGTTGTCTTGACAACTTCAGTTGCAGGCGGGTGCGAAAGACATCCGACCTGTCCCAATGACCAGATCAGGAGGAGCCCCGTGCACAGCATCGTCCATCCCAGAGCTGCGATCCAGGATCTTGGAATCCTGGATCGCAGCTCTATGGGTCGTTGATTCATGGAGGCAGCTTGCCCAGGGAAGGGACGCACCGACGCAAGGACGGCGAGGCAGGCGAGGAGCACGCAGCATTTCGACACAGACCCCATCTCGAGGTTTCTCGAGAGCGCGTGGTTTCCCTGCAGACGCCTGCTCGCTCGGAGGAGGGTGTGTTGGTGCGTGGGCTGCAGGTGGAATCGCGCCCTGTTCTGGGAACCTCTGGCGTCGGGAGGAGACTTGATGCAGTTGAGATGGGTCCTAACCACACCCTAACTGTTCGGTCAAGAGCTGTGACTGTTCGGTCAAGAGCTGTGGGGGGTGAAATGCAGAATTTACCCAAACCCGACAGGCCGGGGGCGGCTCTGGGGTGTGGGGTCTGAAGGTGAGGAGGGATCGAGGGCGGGTGTCGGTGGGCCATCAGGGCACTGGAGCGGAGGGGCCTGGACGGGCCACCTGTGTTCGAGGCGGCGACGAGAGGAAAATCGGGGAGATGATCCCGGAGATCCCTAAGATATCACTTTTAAAAAGGATTAAAAACAAATTGTCAGCATACTTGTTTGTGGAGTACAGAATCAGGACACGACCGGTGTTCCATGAAGTAAAAGCCCTAGAGGTGTGGGAAGAGGTGTTGCTTGGGTGAGAAGAAGAAGAAGAAGAGAGGTGTTGGCGGGAAGCGACCTTGTTCGCATGAGCTCGTGACCCCTTTTGACCAGTACGAACGAGCTGAAGGTCAAAAAGAACGGGTGACTTGACTAAAAAGAGTTTGAGGACCTGAGGAAGGTGGAGCTTATGGAGCTTTAATGAACGTCATACAGCAGCACACACGTTCCCACGTCTTGGTAGACCGAAACGTTGTGGTGAATATGGCCGCGGGGGCTGGTCCTGGAGCTATAGCAGGTTTCGATACAGATAATCCTGACGACCCTTACTTGGCGAACCCCCTTCGTCTTCCCGAAGTCGTCGTGATCAAAAGGAACAGAACAAGACAGGCTGTGCGTACAGCCCATCTCCTGTCTGCCCCACCCACGTCCCACAAGCAGCCCCTCACGGGATATGCGTGGGCCCCCTCTATTATCACTCCGGCAGCTACCCCCACACTCCTCTATTGGGCCAGTGGAGGGGCTCCGCAAGTGACGCCCAGGCCTCGCAAGAGGCCAAAGACTCCTCATCCTCCCAAGGGCAACCTGAGCGAGACCCACGCTCCGCATCAGGGCGGCACCTTGGCGACCAACGCTGAGGGGCCCGGGTGGGGCCCCACAGTGGGGGTGGTGCGCGTGGCCGCCTTGCATTATGCCAACAACATGCGTGAGCATCGTATTGACGGCGTCATTGCAGTCAGATTGATACCCACATTCGTGGTCGGATCCCTATGATAGTGATGATATCCAAAATCGCAAAAGACATTGAAAACTGCCACGTCACAGCGTCTTCACCACCCCCCCCTCCCTCCTCGTGTGTGGGGTGTGGGGTGTAGGGAGTTGTCCGAAGTTGGGGATTTGAGTTTGATGTTGATTTGATGTTGATTTGATTTTGATTTGATATGGCGGGAGCTTGAAGTACTGCGAGAGTCTTGCACGTACGTGTTGCAGGTGTCGCGTGTTGAGGAGGATGCCGCGAGTGCCTGCCAAGGTGGAGATTGGGCGTTTGGTGAGCAGGGGGTGGGCAGGGCAGAGCGCTCCCGCATTGGAGATTCGCGAACGCGGGCAGCACGCAGCAGCATTCATCGTGCAGTCGCGTTCATCAGGCAGCAGCAGCACGCGGCTCTTCGCAGGGGCGCAGCAAGCTAGCAAATATTTTGGGCCGGGAAGGGAAGTGTCTCTGCGTGGGACGCGGGTGGCACGCCGTCGGCGCATGATCCATTCGCGTAGTGCATGTCGCGACCTTCCCAGCGTTGTGGAGTGTGCTGCCGCGCGCCATCGAAGGGCTCGACGCGGGTCAGGGGTCCGCCCCCAACATCATGTGTAACGGTCCGAGTGTCCCCAAGGCCGTACGCGGGGTGCACGCCGACGCCGCGCTACCTGTCGATGCATTGCGGTTGCGGACGCCCAGACCTTCCCAACGGTGTGGCGTGGTGCCCGGTCCTCCCCCTGGGGACCCGGCGAAGGCCACAGGTCCGCAGCGGACCTGGTTCTTTTTTCCGGAATTGGTCACGTTACCCCGACAGCCGGGACCGACAACACCAGCTCATAACCTGTGAAAAAGGGGCAAAAAGGGCAAAAAAGTGCAAAAAAGTACGACTGGACCACTGTGCTCTTAGAAAGTCTTTGCAATTTTCTGCTCCCGGCAGGGTTTGAACCTGCGACTTTCTGCGTGTAAAGCAGACGGTCTAACCACTAACCCACGAGAGCGTTCCAGACTATTCCAATTTTTTGATGACATGGTTTTAGTACCACCCCGTGATGGGGAGGGACCGGAAGGGAGCGTTGAGACCCGGATGCGGGTCGGTTTTTTGAGCCGTTGGAAATCTCTGGGATTTTTCAACAGACCTCCCCACGCGCCGTTCCCTTCATCCGGAAAAGGTGGGGCTACGACGCCTCTCTGGGGGGATTCGGGTGGAAGTTGTTCAGTTGTACCTATTTGTGGGCGGGTGTCCTGCATCCGGCGACGGTGGCCGCACGCTCTGTGCCCTGTGTCTCGTCGTGCGTCCCGCTGTGCCCTTTGTCTCGTCGTGCGTCCCCAGTCGCCGTGGAGAGACTTGGCGAGACTTGGCGAGACTTGGCGGGCTGTTGGGGTCTCGAAAACGGACGCTGCAAGCATCATGTGCCTTGGTTCTATTGGCGAATTCTTCTGTTCATTCGTGCTGAGTGGGTGCTGCATCGGGTTGAGGGTTGGTCGGAGTGAGTCCCAAACCAAACAACGGAATCCTCAGTGCCACGTCCGACGCACCACGACCAAGCCCCACCACCCCCATCTTCAACACACCACACTCCCCCCTCACCCCACACCCCACCTCCTGCAGGGAGTTGCGGGCCGTGAAAGAATGTTTTCGCCGGAGTCTGCGGCGACGCGACAATGCAAGGGGGTGGCAGCCACAGGAGGGCGGGCGCTGCTGTGGCTCGCCGTCGCCCTCAGGTGAGACACGTTCGTCGTGGGATGCGCCGAAATGAGCACGTGGGATGTGCAGACAGCCAGACGATGGCCCTGGCGCGTTCCGGAGCAGCCTCACGCATGCTCGTGCTTCCACCCGGACCCACTTCTTGAAAGACCCCCCTCGACCAGTTCAAGTTCCAGCTCTGCCTCACTCGGGTTGACCGACTATTCTCAAGTTGACATGCTGGTGTGCGGTACCAGCCCATCAACTTTGGAGCTGAAAAGAGCCTAGGCTCAAATAGACTGAGACAGAGCTGGAAGGTACCCGCAGCCCTCCGAAGGGAACCACCAGCCCTGCGAAGCGGACCACATCGACGATTGTTTGGAGCCATTTCCTCGGGTGGCACATTCGTTTTCGAAGGTGCCGACCGAGGAATTAGCGCATGCTCCAGCCTCGATTTGGTCCGCCTCGGAGGGCTGGTGGACGCATAATGCCACAAGCTAACGCCAGCGGACCCCTTAGCCTACGGTAGTAACCCCCCCTCCTCCTACGACATTTTAAACCAAAAGGTCTTTAAAAGTCGTAGGAGGGGGGCTCCTACCGTAGGCAATCCGTAGGCTCTAAGTACCTCGCTGGCGTTAGCTTTTCAGATGAAGCAGGTTGATCTCTTTAGATTATCTGCACCGAGTCCCTCCCGGTGCATATCCGCCAACCATAAACGATCCAAACCCTGCCTTCCAACCATAAACGATCCACACCCTCCCTTCCAACCATCAATGATCCAAACCCTCCCTTCCAACCATCAACGATCCAAACCCTCCCTTCCAACCATAAATGATCCAGCCCCTTCACTGCGCCCCGCCTCCAGCCTCCCTGAAGAGGTGAAGAGGCTGGATAATTTATGGTTGGAAGGCAGGGTTTGGATCGTTTATGGTTGGCGGATGCGCCCCGCCTCCAGCCTCCCTGGGATATCCTGCGAAATCTGATTGAGATTAAAACACTTTTATCCGGGGAAACCTATTTTTCTTTAGTTTGAGGTCAACGAAAATTACTGCACGGTTCGTTTTTATTAGTAATATTAAAGCAGTTATGTAGTAATTTTCGTGGCCATCAAACTAAAGAAAAATAGGTTTCCCCGGACAAACTTGTGTGCCATGCTACGGTTGTGCTAGAGCCACACAGCGGGCTGTGAAGGGATTGCGTGGATATTCCACACGTGAATAATCCTTAGGACCCTACCACCAGCCCTCACGGAAGGACCAAAAGATCGATTTTCGACCTTTTTCCAAAAGTTGATTTTGCAGCAAGATTGTGTTAACTTACGAATCAGACACCCCATATCGGGGTGTCTGTCAAGGTAAATCCGAGGTTTGAGAATCGACGATTTGGTCTTTCCGTGAGGGTGAGTGGTACGGTTAGCTTTCGAATCTGTCCAAGTGCTCCCCAGTCCTAGTAGATTTGATCTGTTTAGATCATCTGCAGCGAGACCCCCCTGGAGTGAGTTGGCCAATCCCTAGCTCTGTTCGAGTTAAGTTTCGTCTCACCATTAAAAACATTTAGACATAGATGGACGGTCAATTTGTACTAGATATCCTTCTCTAAAACTAATAATGATGAGACGAGATTGAGTGGGACACAGCTAGTTCTCTGCTAGCTCCTCATCAAGTTCTCTGCCCCTCATCAAACCTCAGTACTCTGCTAGCCCTTCATCAGCCTAGTTCTCTGCTAGCCCCACCCTAGTTCTCTGCGTCCATCACCAAGCCTCCCTGGGAATTGTGTGCTTTCGCGCTGATTCCGTTCGTACACACTGCGTCAATTAATGATAAATCATTTTTTTCTTATTTTTTTATATTTTTGTTGTGTTCGCTCGCATGACCCCTCTCGTCGTCCCTGCTCTAGCACAGCCTCGGTGGGGGTGCATACACGGCACAGCTGTACTGGTATTAATAATATGGGAATACTTTGTGGCCATCTAGCTCTGCCTGAGTTTTATTCTGGCTCGTCCTTAAAAGGACGAGCGCGCGATCACGTATCCCTTCAGTGCCCATAGGGTGAATACTCACCCTAACTCGTCCTAGGCAGGTCCTAGGGCCCTACCGTAGGGCGTATGCGCCTACTGGTCACTTAAGGGATATGGTTGGAAGGCAGGGTTTGGATCGTTTATGGTTGGCGGATTTGCACCGGGAGGGACTCGGTGCAGCTAAACAGATCAAACTGCGTCCACCAGCCCTCCGAGGCGGACCAAATCGAGGCTGGAGCATGCGCTAATTCCTCGGTCGGCAACCCGAAAACCGAGCAGCGTGGCGCAGTGTGCGGCGGCGGAGCCTTTCCCCTCACAGATCGAAGCTCTGGCGCGTGACCAGGCCGAGGGCCACCCTGTCGGTCCAACCCTAAAATCCTCAACCCTTAAACCTTAAAACCAGATTTAACCGTACTTTTAAAAAATTATCTAAACCCTTAGACCCTAGACCATGAGCCCTACACCCTACCTACACCCTGAGCTCGGGCGCGTGACTGAGTTGAGGGCCACCCCGTCGGTCTAGCCCTTCTTCTTCTTCTTCTTCTTCTTCTTCTTCTTCTTCTTCTTCTTCTTCTTCTTCTTCTTCTTCTTCTTCTTCTTCTTCTTCTTCTTCTTTATTACTCTTGATGCAGGTCCTAAATCAGGCCCTTTAGCCTTACGTTGAGTGATACAATAATCTATGAGCCTTCAGAAACGGGCCGGACCCTGAAAACCTAAACCCTGAACCCTACACCCTACCTACACCCTGAGCTCTGGCGCGTGACTGAGCCGAGGGCCACCCCCGTCGGTCCAACCCTTAGACCCCAAACCCTCATCCAGAATGAAACGTACTTTTCTTTCGAAAACCCTAAATCCTAAACCCTGAGCCCTACACCCTACCTACACTCTGAGCTCTGGCGCGTGACCGAAGGCCACCCCGTCGGTCCAACCTTCAACCCTCGACCCTTAAACCCTAAACCCTACCTAAATCCTACCTGAACCCTCAACCCTCAACCCTGCCTACACCCTACCTAAACCCTACCCAATCCCTATCTAAACCTTATCTCAATCCCTAACACCAAATTCTGATCCTTCAACCATCAACCCTCAACCCTCAACCCTCAACCCTCAACCCTCAACCCT